ACAATTCTTGCAACTATACCTCAACCCTATTATCCATGTTATCAATTTTTAATATACCTCTGGGAAAGTAGACACACTCTTCATTCACTTGAGCTATCTGATGATTACTACATTCACTAACGTATTAGCTATTAAGTAAAATGACCTCTATATTACTACCTCCTAGTAAAAAAACATATTTAACTTAATAAAAAAGATGAAAAAACAAAAAAAATAATAATCCACTGCCATCAAGTCAATTCCAACTCATAGTACAACGCTGTGGGACAGTTTCTAAGCCATAATCTCTATGGAAATGGATGGCCAGTTCTCAGTGGCGGTTCTAGCGACTGAATTATTTGTTAGAAGCCAAGAAATTAAGCCCTGTACCAGTAGACCAGTAGGATTTCTAAAGAAACTAGTATACTAATTAAATAGATAGTAAATGTCCATTGAAAACAAGGGGGGGGGAAGTCCCAAAAATTAACTTACAACTCTTCATGTCTAAGAATAAGGTTCAGCAGGATTTCAATTTTAGAGTTGTAGGTTTGCCGTCTTGATAAGGTGGTTAATGTCGTACCCAGTGTGAACAATTTAAGAGATTAGCATTCATCTTTATCATCTCCTCAAAAATGTTTCTTCCAGGTTTGCCTCTAATATGGTCACTAGAGCAAATGACTCAGTGCTCAGGAGGCAGACACATGGGGCCCAGCAGGGCTTCTACCATAATGTAAAAGAACTTTTCTAGGTTTCAAGGATTGAGTAGAATGTAGTGGACAGTGTTTGATGGAGCTCTTTGATTAAAACAAGCTTGGAAGCAGGAGTGGCATCCACTTCCTCTGGAAACCCTATGAACTTGGAGAAACAAGTTATGCAAGTGTTCAGGTCTTTCTTTCATAGAGTCACTATGAGTTGTCTAAGACTCAATGACATGTAACAACAACAGTGACTGGAAACAACCTATTACAAAATATTTGTTTATGAAGTGGGTAAGAGGCTGGGGAACTAAAAGGAACTCACCACAGAAAAAAAGGGAATGGGAGGTAAGAGTCTATGCCTTTTCTGGAGATATTTTTAGAGGCAGATAAGAGTTGATACTAAAGAAATTGAGAATGAGTGAGTGATGGTAGTTGATTCTTGAATAGAGAACATTTACAACTTTATGACTACTACAAGGACTGCAATGGAGATTTAGTTGGTTAATGGAAGAGTAAGTCATGAGAAGAACTAAGTCTAAATTATCAGTGTATGGCTGTTGAGGGAACATTTCGAAGATGTCAAAGAATAGTCTTTTAACACGAGTCAAATTCTCTCTGCTAAAATGTAATATTTGGGTGTTAAAAATAATAAGAAGCAAATGACATAGAAATCATATGCTTCTTTTTCTTTAGCTATGGAAAAAGCAGCTTCTTAACTGGTGCCATTCTTGCTGAGGTTTAGTACTTGAGATAACTGAAGTCCTCAACAATACTCTCTCCTACCGTCATCATTATCCATTAGCTTTAGTTCATTGCTAGCTGTTCCTGTTTTTTTAAAATTTTATTTTACTACTTTTAATGAACATTTACAGAAATTTTGGATTTTCATTCATTCACTGTTGCATTTTTCTCCCTGCCCCCAAGTAGTTTGCTCTTCTCTTTGAAAAGTAAAAGAAAAGTTCCTTCATTGGTATACAATCCCCGCCCCCCTCCACGACCCAGTACACTCCACTATGCAACCGTCATTCTGGATTCCTGTGATAACTATAATATTCAATAACATTGCTTTTAAACTGTTTTCTCTCTCATCTGTTTCAATGCAGTATACATAATTTAGCCAATTTTTTAACCTTGCCACACCCAGTTCTTCAATATGATTGCTTGGGAACTATTCCTGCAGTTTTATTAGTAGTGAAAGTCTCTAAGGAGTTCTCATCATGTAAGCAAATAGTCCCAACATCCTCCAAGGTAAGGATATACAGATGCGAAAAATAAAAACAACCCTTAAGCAAACAAAACAAGCTATCTTTTATGTATGAAAACCAAGTCCTAGAGATATTAGGTGACTTGACAGAAAACTATGATCTGAAATAGATTTAAACCAAATGTGCTGCCATAAAGTTGCATTTTGACTCACAGCAACCCTATAGGACAGAGTGGAACTGCGGCATAAGGTTTCCAAGTATAAAATCTCTATGGAAGTACATGGATTCCTCTTTCTACCACAGACTGGCTTGTGGATTCGACCTGTAAACTTTGGGTCTGCAGATGAATTGTACTACCAGAGTTTATAGTACATTTAGAGAATACATAAATATACAACTAATAACCAAATTTAGCTTCCTATCTTATTTGAGCTTTCCCAGCGGTTCTTTCTGCAGATGTAATCGATCTGATTGCATACTATCGGGTGAAATCCACGTATTAATGTCTCAGGTGATGTCTCTCTGGTGATGAAGGAAGAAGTTCAAGCTGCTTTGAAGGAAATGGCAAAAAATAAGGCCCCAGGAATAGATGGTATACCAATTGACATATTTCAGCTA